ATTAGGAGATCTATGGATAGCCTACATCTCTCAGCATCCATATGAAACACAACTGTACACAGATTTACTTTTTCTTTATGGATATTTTACTAATCACTCCCCTTTTAAACTGTATTCTTGTGTTACTGTCCTATAGGATCTCATACCCGTTTTTCATTTATTCTCTTATTCTTTAATAACTGTAATGATCATATAAAGGTATTCCTCGCAAATACTTGTTAATAAATGGTGACCAAACCATTTGAGACCCACTGAGATAAGTTAACCTACACTAAAGTGAACTATCTAAACACTGAGAGAGTCTTTACCTCACTGAGCTGACGTTATAAGAGGCTCTCAGTCTGACAGGAGAGGACTCTCCTCCACCTTGGTGTAGAAACAGCTCTTTATATCCGTTAGCATAGCTAGCTAACCAGATGCTAACAACAACATTCCACGTTACTGCTCGCGCACTCACAAAATGCGCTCGTGCCACACACACACAGAGCCGAGCTTGAATGAAACACAGAGACCCAGAAGTAGGCTACTTGTACTGTACTTTATATCATATTATTTTCGATGGCTTTACTGTATAATCAGTGTAACAGATCGCCACTGGGCTTTCATCTAAACCAGGGGTACTCAAATACAAATCTTAAAGGTCCAAAATAAATGTTTCAATAAGACAAAGGTCCGTTTATTACGGTCATTCAAACTTTTAAACAATTGCAACAAGATTCTTAACACGAGGTTGCAAAAACTAAAATAATCTGTATGCAGCCGTTTTCATTGTTATTGTGTGTGTGCTTGACCCCTCAGAGTCGCAGAGTAAGAGCTGCACAGTTATGAATAAAGGCAGCTGCACCCTCTTTCATTCAGCATTCCCATTATTGCTTAAATGTCTTGCCCCCTTGTGTGTCCACTGAGGTTCGTCAGGCCCAACACATCTTCAACAAACCTCATCATAAAAACTCTCAAACACCAGCAACTGAGCATTGTCAGTGGTGTCAGTGGACTCACCCACAGCTAAGGAAATTTACTGTGCATTTTCTATTCCATCACAAAGCTGATTAATCAAATCACCAGCCAGTATTTATGTTCTTCTGGTTGCTGTGGAATCTGAGAGGGGATTTGCTTGATTTGACCTGTTATTTCCTCTTTTTGTTTTTGTCTATTACAGCTGAATGCGGCGATTACCATTTTGTTCAGCAAAAGGCCTCACAAACTTATTAAGATCAACAGCTTTAGTGCGTGTTGATTCAATGTTGAGTACAGCCGCAAATACCTCATTCCTTCAGTGCTTGGGTCCGAATGCTTCTCGTTTTGCGCCGTCCCGTTCAAATGAAATCGCCGCCAATCATATTTCCACGCTCGCGCCAGGGCCGGGTGACGGCCCGTCCACACAGCGGCGTGCGTTGACGCTTGCCGGCGGGCGTGTCTGACACTCGATCAACAACCAATCACATGAATCTCCCGCCCCTGACACACAAGCAGCGGTTTGATTGGCTAGAGCTTGGACTGGCATATGATTCGATTGGCTGACGCCTCTACCGAGGCGTCAAAAGTTGAACATTGCTCAACTTTTGCAGCGAGTCACGCCAGCGACGCTCCGCGTCGCTTCCCACGATGCAGTTCGGCTAAAAGTGACGTCACCCCATTCAAAGTGAATGGGCAGAAGCGTTGGAAGCTTCAACGCACGCCGCTGTGTGGACGGGCCCTGAGGGGTTACATGACGTGCATCTTGTGCTGCATTCACTTGCACTCGGACATTAGAGACTTTCTCTCATAAATGTCCGATGAGCCACAACTTTTCTTTCAAAACAGAGCTGCCAACTAGGGTGGCAGCTGGGGTGGCAAGGCCTATTTTTAGGGTGTCAGTTGCCACCCCGGTAGGTGAAACTAGGCTACTAGCTACAGTACAGATGGAACTAGATGAGTTGTTAACTCTCGCTCTGAATTTCTTTTTTTTAAACTCTCGCTCTGACTCAGACAGGTTGAAAGAGACACACACATTTTTCCCACCCGCATTCCGTGAAGACCCGCCCTACTGTGCCTCTGATTCGCAGATTGTTTGGGGGGGGAAAACGCTGACGGGATGCTGAATGTGATTGGACCAATGCATTGACAGACACACACAGACAGTGGAACAGGACATGCAGAGCGCTGTTTGCAGTCTATGGACATAGCGGATCATTTTGACTCGTTGCGTTTTGGCGATGTCTCGCAGATAACACAGATACAGATAATACATATGAAAAGTATCATTTGCTCAGAGTCCAGAGACAGTTGTGGTTCGGTCTGGATCCGGACCAGAGTCCGGACTTTGAGGATGCCTGATCTAAACCATAGATCTAAACACAATGATAACAAAACAAAGGTCGGGGGTCATTGGTCAAGCAACACACCAATCAGAGAGCAGCAGTGAGCACACCTCAGACTGTGTTTTATATTTGTATTCTTTATTTCTGATGTATTTCACACAAAACGTTTTCACTTATAGCCTATGATTTAAAAAATAAAAAAAACGGCAAAGTGGCAGGGCTTGCCCACCCTGCGTTGGGGGGGCACAGTGACTCATTTGGGGGGGCATGGCCCGCAAATGACCCCCCATGACCCCGACCCTGAGACAGGCCATTATTCATGATGCCAGCAGGGAGCCTGTTCAGCAGCAGTGATGTCACAGAGGTTATTGCAGGATAGATAGAGTCTCCACCAACTCACTAACAAGCACTGTTACTTGTAAAATACATTGACAAATATCCTCAAAAAGTCCTCAAAGTTAACTGATGAACTTTTGATCGAAAATAATGTTGTTTAATCCACGTTGGCGTACTACAAAGAACTATAAAAAAACAATCGGTTCGTTTTTTCATCAGGAAATCCAGCCCGGCTCAAACAAACGATTTTTAATCATCATCCTCACGATCATTTAATGTATCATATGTACGTCAAATTGACATGAACGCACTAACAATCATGAATTTGCTGTAGTCAACTTCATTAAAACTTTATTAACGTGCCTAAACTCAGTAATTCACAAAAATTAGGTTTATTTTTAATGGAGCCTCGTCATCTCCCCACGGGCAAATAAGAATATGTACAGTGTTAATAGTTTACTGTATTATTAGTGTTTAATAATACTGCTATAACAATCACACATTGAGTTCATTGTTGTGCAATGTTGAAATCAGACCGTTGTTTTTTTAAATAGTCTGAATGAAAACGGCAGCTCTCAGGTGAACTCATATGAAATAAACAGCTGATTCCTCACACACCAGCGACGTGCAGTCAGGGGAGGCAGAGCCTCCCCTGCCATACTCCAATGTAACGGAAAAACAACTAAAGAAAAACTAAATAATAATAATAATAACATGTCTCCACTGATCTGTGTTGTAAGTGTGATTTCTGTATGATTCCAATCGCTTTTTATAGTCAAAATCAGCAAATTGGCCGAGCTCCGCTACAACTCCTGCATGGGAGCGATGAGAAGTGAGGCAGGGACGAGCTCTGCCTCTCGTAAGCCCACAGTAACTGGCTGGAGCGCGGGCACTAATGTAGCGCGGGCACTAATGTAGCGCGGGCACTTATTTTGTGAGCGCGCTCAAGCCAGTTACTGTGTGGTGAGGTGAGGCACAGATGAGCTCTGCCTCACCTCAGAATGCGTCACCCCACAGAAACTGGCTGGAAAGCGGGCCCTAAGCGCATGCCTGCACCGTCTCACTGTATGTCACCAAGGTAATGTTTGTAGATCCCTTTATTACATTTATCCTCGCCATCCATAGTCTCTAAATAACTTATTTCACGTATATATGATATTTAGGCTCGCTGGTCTCATCATACAACGGCAATGAAAAAAGCACCAGGAGAGGCAGCCATAACCTTTGCCGCACTGAAGGGGGCGCAAGTGAGCCCACAGGTTCTTGTTGCTACTGTTATTCTACGCAGAGACGGAACGCAAACAACAAACTAGACTTTTGAAACTAGAGGAAGATAAGGAGGACTTTTACAAAAAAGTAAGAGATTGTTGTCCAGAAGGATAGCATGGACTTCATCTTCAAGTCAAGGTAAGACCACAATTGTAATGAACATGGGATCTTACTAAGAAAGAACAATCTAATATTTAGATTGTGGGTATCCTTTTGTTGAACAGTCTGTTTAAAATGAATTGAAGCATCAGACTAAAAAAGCTTTTGAAAATAATCGAACATTTCGATTAAGGTCAAAATATAATATTTGTAAATCTGACTGAAAGAGTCAGTGCCTCACCAGCCATGAACCTCACCGCACGTCACTGTCACACACACAGTAGCCTGTTGTTTCTATGCATACAATAGTGAGAAATATGGCTCTGGTTAATTACTATATCACTTATTTTCTCCATAAAAGCTGGTGGGTTGAAAAAAGCAATACGGGAGGTGAAAATAACTATATTGTAGAATACAGAAGAATTGTTATGCCGTGGCATTATCTGAAAACTGACAGCATACGTTACATTTATGGCCCGGGACACACATATTTATTTAGGGTAACACTTTATATACAAATTAACCATAGTTGTTAATTAAGATGCATATTAGCAGTATATTGGCTCTTTATTAGTCATTATAAAACACTTATTAATGCCTTATTCTGCAGGACCATATTCTACAAGTAATAAGCCATTAGTTGAGAGTTTTTCCTCAATAACCCTCTAATTAGTGCTTATTTATTGCAAGTAAGGAAGTTGTTTTGAGTTTTGGTCTTAATATGCTCTGCTCAATATGGGCCTAATAAGGCATAATAACACTTAACAAATATGACCTATTCTTATGTAACAAGACATGAAACTATAAGTATTTGTGTCTAAATAATTAAAAATTAGGTATTTATATCTAAGAATATGTGTTGGGGTATTGACAGTTCAGCTACCAATAGCAAGGTGATATTGACCTGTATGTTTCATATTTGCACATTTATATTTTTGTAACATTTGTACTGACGGTTAGACAGGAAACCGGGTACAGGAAGTAGGAGAAAGTGAACTGAATAGCATGGCAGTAGACTGCTACTAATTTTCCCTTTGCAACCTGAACAGTAAAAGGTGAAGTCCGTCAGAAAGCAATGACTGTAAGTGTAAGTGTAAGCCTTACACGTACACTGTAAAGATAAGTAACATGTATTGTGTTTGTGAGATGTTTAAACGGTTTAAAGTAAACACAATGAGAACAAGCGTTAGCATTCGCGCTAGCGTTAGCATACATGCTAGCATTAGCCACACTAGCCTGTATACATGCTTATTGCACAGCTAGCACATACATGCCAACCTTTCCAAATCCAAAAGAGGTGGGTTTGCGCGTGGCAAATGTGCACACCCAAACTAGGTAATCAGAAGAAATGGAACCCATGTATTTAACATAGGCTATATTGCATCATTTTATGCATTTTTCAGAAAAAGTGGTAGTTTGGTAAACAGTGACATCAACGACATGTTTGGTCTGTAAAATGCCCGAAAAGTAAAAGAATGGGAGCTAAATATCCCAAAGTCTCCACATTTTATTATATTTTTAATGTGCTTCTGGTCCTCTTTCAGTTGAGACAGTAGATGAAGGATGTGTCAGGACGTAGAACTCTTGTGTGAACATTGGATAACGCCAGGTTCATATTATTGATTCATGTTGTTGACATATTAGAGTCAAAGGTTTGCACAGAGCGAAATATCTTTGTGTTGCGCCATAAATCAGAAAATACTGCATTAAAAAAGTCATTTCCTGCATTTTTCTACTGATAAAGTGTGATATAAATAATGTACAGGCTTTCTTGCTGTAGTTCACTAAACAGACATTAACGACATGTTTGTGTTAGGCTTCCCGAGAAGTGACTGGAGATGAGAACCCGCTATGCAAGCACTAAACTGAGACTGTGGTGAAGTATCAAAAAAGGCTTTATTTTGTCCACGACACTGAAAAGGAGTTGACGAAGAGCTCGTAGAGGGAAGACGTGGAGCTGGGCTGACCAGAAGGGGAGGCTGGACGTGGCAGGCAGAGCGGCTGGAGTATGTGGATCTGGAACAGGAAGAACAAGCAGGATTAGGAAATGATCTCCCTTCACTAGGAGCATCAAAAAGTCACTAGGAAAAAACACTAGTAGGCCTGGACGATAGTTTACCACTGAAGAATAAACGAAGAACTGGCGAAGTCTGAAGATGGGAACCAGGGTTTTAAGCAGGTGCAGGTGAGTAGTGGCAATCAGTGAGATGAGCAGCAGCTGAGGAGGTGAGTTGGCGGGAATCGGAATGTAGGTCAGCCACGCCCAGCCAGGGAGACAGACACATAGACAAACAGACAAAACAAACACAGAAGGGGGAAAAGAAGGAGGAAGTACTGCAGATCCTCACAGTTTGGTGTTGAAAATGTCAGAAAAAGTGAAAGAATGGGAGATAAATATCCCCAAATCTCAAAATTGTATTATATTTTCTGTGTGTTTGTGGTCCTCTTTCAGTTGAGACACTGTAGGTGAAGGATGCTTCAGGAAAATACCAAACACTGGAGGTCTTTCAGTCGCCAATGTGTTTTCGAGACACTGATATTAACGGGGAAACCCTGCAGGACTCAGATGCCTCGTCTCTGTACCCTTAAACTCATTTGGGAGTGATTACCCATCAGCCCCGGGGGTAACGCTGCCCTTCCTCTGCACGTTGTTTCTCTTTCAGAAACACAGAGGACTGTTTGTATGATGCGATCACAGACACGCTGCAAACGGTGTCCGCCAAAAGTCAAGTCCAGTGTCTTTGGAGTGTCATTAGCCGCATTCACACCGCAGGACTTTCCCTGGTACTTTGGTTCTTTAGTTCCGTTAGTACCAATAATATCGCGTTCTCACCGCCGGAACTACTCAGTGCCGGGAACTCTTTTGGCCATTTTCAGTCCCTGCTAGAGAGGTGGTACGAACCTGGTGATAAAAGAGTGCCAATTTATATTCTATTTCTATTGGCTGGGCGAATTGCAAACCACGCCCCGTTAGACTCTGAATTTTTTTTGTTAGGCAGCCATTTTTTCCCTCGCTACAAAACCACATCCACACCTGAGCGAGTAGTTTTTTGTACTTTAAAGCAGTTATGACCACACGTACTACAACACCGGAGCGGTGGAATGATGAGGAAGTGTCGGCGCTTCTGGCAATTTACTCTGAGGACGGGATGCAGCAGCTTCTACAGAAAGCAGTTCCCAACTCCAAATGTTTTGAGCGATGTTCGCAAAAGCTACTTGAGCTGGGAATCGTGCACAGTGCACACGGATGCCGGGTAAAAATAAAGAAACTCAGACAGGACTATAACAAAATTAAAGACCACAATAATAAGAGTGGTAACGATTTTCTATTGTTATTATATATATATTGCCACTGTACTGACACCTAACTTGCACTAAGGTGTGTCTGCTGCTATATATATTACCACTGTTACATTGTTTTGAAACTACTTACACTTTATTTTACATTTCACACTTTTATTTAACTTCAATGTACATGCATACGACACACCTAGAACAGCGTGATGCCTTATTGTTATGTCTTGACTGTGCAATAAAACAAACAAACTGGCGAAGCTTTATTTATTGTGTCCCACCCCAAATTTGCAGAATAGAAGAATGTGAGAGCAGACAGGTGTCGGTGGTTGAATGTATCTACAATGTTGCAACCTTGTGCAGCAATGGCAGGGGCAGAAACACAAGTCTTACACACAGAAACACAAGTCATTTATCATGTCATTTGTTTTAGATAAATAAGGGAAAAACACCAAACAAGGGTTAATGTCCTTTTCCAAAATCAGCCTGAGGGGGTAATATATAATAAATACATATAGATAAAGTCCATTGTTATAATGGGGTATTTTATTTGTAAATTACCCTTATGAACTCCATCATGTCTGAGGTCGGAAAGTAAACAAACGCCTCATACAGCGGGTGGGCTTTATACCCCCTCCCCCGTGTAGTTCTTCTTCTCTCGTTTTTGTTTGTACTCGCCGTGAAGTGGTTTTGCGGCCTGCCAGTAAACCCAGAGAAGAAGAAGACGAAGTGACGTCAGCGTAATCTTGCCTCAGGGAAAGTACTGCGGTGTGAATGCGATTGGCACTAGCACCCTGGCAGATTCAGTGCCGTGGTACTTTAGTGCCGGCACTAAAGTACGGCAAGTCCTGCGGTGTGAAAGCGGCTATTTTTATTTGTTACAGTTTGGGAAGATTGAAAATCGGTAGGGAAAGCCAGCTAAGTCGGTAGGCGGTAGAAACATGCCAAAAGCGGTAGACTACTACTTTGAATGTCAGTAGACTGCAAATAAGTCAATAAAGGAGCATGGCTGCTCATTCCCTGGCTCTCAAAAGAGTTTGGCTGGCTGTTTAATCTATGTTCACACCATGCCCGGCCCTCCCATTTGATATTCCTGCCCTCCCACAATTAACACGTTTTTTATTATTTATAACATTTAAAACATTTTTTTTTTTTTTAACTATAAATAAACTGTGAACTTCTATGCTACGATGTATGTGATGTCAGATAGTAACTAAAAAAAAATCACAGGCTACGTCAAATAAATGTATGTGTCTGTTGTGATTTGTGATTCGTCCACATTTAGACCAATCACAGCGTCACACTCTGCCGCCTATTCTGGATTTGTTTATTGTGCATTCTGTAGACTCCCATTTCTGTTTGAATTACAAAATGGACATCAGAAATTGGCTTAAAAGGTCTAAGGATTTATTAAAACGAAATAGCGATGAAAGAACTGCAGCCGATGGTGCTGCTGGCGACCCTGCACCTGCCGTTGCAGCAGCACGCCTTAATGTCACAAGCTTGACCTCGGCAAACCCCGGAGCTGAGTTAGCGAGCCCAAGCCTTGACTCATCAAGGCGGCCGCCACCAATGCTGTCCTCCGAGGCACAGCTCCTTGTGCCCCTACCAGATCACATTTCATGTGAGAGTTTGTGGAGAGAGAGACAGATACTCGAGGAAACAAATAAGGAAATTAGTACTTTGGTGCAGATCAGCTGCACGGAACCGTTATTACGTGTCAGCTGTCGTTGATATTACAACTTTTTTAGCTGTCAACCAACTCCCTCTCAGAGGTGACCACGATTCACTCCACAGCATGTCCGAGTCAGGCAGTGGGCTCGTCCTATCGCTGTTTGAGTATACGCTGTACAAAGATGCAGAGTTGGCCAAAATAATGTTCTAAGTTAGCTCGGCTGAGCGAAAGGATGCACCTGCAGTGCATAGGAACATAAACCATGCCCAAGGCTCATTCATGCGCATCATTTTACGTAATTAATCA